AATGGCCGAGAAGCATCTAAAGAAATGTTCAGCATCCTTAGTCGTCAGGGAAATGCAAATCAAAACAACCCTGAGATTCCATCTCACACCAGTCAGAATGGCTAAGATTAAAAACTCAGGTGATAGATGTTGGCGAGGGTGTGGAGAAAGAGGAACACTCCTCCATTGTTGTTGGGACTGCAAGATGGTGCAACCACTTTGGAAATCAGTCTGGCGGTTCCTCAGAAAATTGGACATAGCATTACCCGAGGATCCAGCTATACCACTCCTAGGCATATACCCAGAAGATGCTCGAACATATAACAAGGACATATGCTCAACTATGTTCATAGCAGCCTTATTTATAATAGCCAGGAGCTGGAAAGAACCCAGATGTCCTTCAACTGAGGAATGGATTCAAAAAATGTGGTATATTTGCACAATGGAGTATTACTCAGATATTAAAAACAATGAATTCGAGAGGTTCCTAGGTAAATGGATGGAACTAGAAATTATCATCCTGAGTGAGGTAAGCCAATCACAAAAGAACACACATGGTATTCACTCACTGATTATTGGATATTAGCCTAGAACCTTGAAATGCCCAAGATGCAACTCACAGGCCACATGAAGCCCATAAAGAAGGAAGACAAAGTGAGGGTGATTCGGTCCTTCTTAGAAGGAGCAACAAAATACACAAGGGAGCAAATATGGAGACAAAGTGAGGGACAGAACCTGAAGGAGGGGCCGTCTCAAGACCACTCCACCTGAGTATCTATCCCATGTGCAATCACCAAAGGTAGATGCTGATGTGGAAGACAGGAAGTGCATGCTGATAAGAGCCTGATATGGATATCTCCTCAGAGGCCTTCAAGAGTCAGACATATTCAGAGGCAGATGCTCACAACTAGCCATTGGGGTCTCAATAGAGGAGTTAGAGTGAAGACAGAAGGAGCTGAAAGGATTTATGGCACCATGAGGAGAGCAACAATACCAACCAACCACAGCTCCCAGGGTCTAAACCACCAGCCTGGGAGCACTTAGGGGGGGATCCAGGGCTTCAGCTGAATATGTAAAAGTGGAGGGCCCTGCTGGGCATAGGTGGAAGAAGAGAACCTTGACCTCATGAAGGCTGGATGCCCCAGGGGGTGGGAATTTTGAGGGTGGGGAGGTGGGAGTGTGGGGGGGTAGATAGAGGTTACATCCACAGAGAAGAAGGAGGAGGGGCGAGGGGATTGGGGGTTCCGAGGGGGTGGTGGGGGATGGGGTAAGGGGACAACATAGGAAATGTAAATAAATCATCCAATAAAAAAAAAAAGAAGATTATGAAAAGGAACTTAAACTATGACTGGTAAAAAATGGCTGTTATATAATCCTTCATAATACATAAGAGTATAAGAGTTACTTCTTTAGTTATAGAATGTGCAGTCACAGATTTCATACTTAAAATCATGGCATAGTCCATGTAGATAGATATAGATAGATATCATTATAGATATAGAGTATTGGGAGTATCTTATGTCTGACTCATACTGTCAAATCAGAGATATGTATATATATAAGTTCTCATATACAATTATCACTGTTCAGGAACTGTTATTACACTCATCAATCATTTTTGACAGATTCGATCAGAAATAAATAGAAGTGAGCTAATTTTTGTTAAGATATATTTATTTTTATTTGATAGGCTTACTGCCCATTTGATTCACTGTCTCATAGACTTCTGCATCATTCCTTGCTCTGGGCTCCAGGCTCCAGGCTCCAATAGCTCTGGTCTCCAGAGTCTCTGTATGTTCAGCCAAATTTGAAGAATTGATGCTCTCTCTGCAAAGATCAAAGGTGAATTTCTTCTCTGAGGCTCTCTGTCAGATTTCTCCTCTCCTCTGTGGTATTTCTGTGAGATGTTTTCTGCTTTCTGCATTGTTGTTGAGATTTCTTCTTCTCTAATCATGTTGGGTACCAGATGTTACTGTAACTTTTATTAGCCAGATGTAATGGTTATATCTGAGGCCTAAGGCTGAACTAACATTTTGTTAGGTCTTTCCAAACTCTGCCTGACTGATTCAACTCTGCTGTTCTGGCTCAAATGCCTCTCCAAGCTCACTGATTCAAACTAGCCTCTCTCAACTACTCAGTGAATTGTTCTGCTTGACATCAAACTAACTCTGGCAATCTGTTCTACTTTTCTTGCTCTTTTTAATTCTTTGGCTTCCTCTGCCTCTGCCAACCTGCACTGAACTACATGGAGGCATGTACAAACTGGATTGCACTGACTCTCAACTGACTGACTCTCTCATAGTGCTGCTCTTAAATAGCTTGTCTTTTCTGTGCTGTTTTATTAACTTGGGAGTATCCTTTTCCTGCCTCATCCTGTCAAATTTTTCTCTGATTTATCACATTGTTTCCCCTTCAATTAGATGTCATTTTCAAATATGCATGTTTCCTTATAAAAACTAGTTTTACCTTAAAGGTATACTAAGGACTTATCTGTATTTCACCTAGGGGGATTAAGGTTGTTTGATACATCTGCATGCTAGCCAATATCACACAGACCTAGGTCTTTAGATGTGATCCTTTTCTAGAGCAGCCATGTTGCTGGATTAAAATTTTCTACATGCTTACATACATATCTGTTCAACTGTTGCCTACCAAAGTCAGAAACTCACATCAGACTACCAGTAACTGGATTTGGAGAGAATTGTGACTCACCATATTGGTGTTAGACATCAAAATCAAGGCTTGTAAAGAGTACCAGTGATCCATTTCTCCACTTCATGGTTATGTGTTCTAAACAACCCCCAGGGGTGTTTTTGATACAAATATTCTATCATGCTAATGTTTTTCAAATTATATATTATGTTTCATTTAAGATTAGATTTATCTAAGCCTATTAGAAAGTATTTAATAATGGACATTTCTTCTTTATTAGAATCTTTAGTATTTCTATGAAGTGCTTGACTCTTGTTCCATGCAATTGACATACTGGAAAAGTACAAGAATTATTTATTTTTACTTCTTTCATCAATATTTCCTCTTTATCATCCATGACTATAATATAGTACATTCTTTTTCTCCTCCCTGGCTAAGGACAGAAACCTTATCTATCTTTGCAAAAACAAAATACCTGCATTCATAGTAGTGAAAGAGACTAGAATATTCTCCATTTCTCCACTTTCCTTTTCTCTGACCAAACCCTCTTATATACTCCTTTTTGCTATCTTGAAAACTGATATCTAGTTTCTGTGACACAATCAAGATGGAATTCTCACCAGAACTCCTCCTAGTTATCCTGTTGTTGCCTTATGTTATGAGATCCTACAGCTGTCGATTAGCTTTCATGTGTCTCAAACTTTCACAGATGATATAGATTTTGTGTTGGGCCAGCTCAGAGTTCTGGATCTGGACCTGGGTGGTAGCTGAGTTGGTCAGGGTGCTGGCTCTACCTTATCTGCACTGGCAGCTTGAGTTATCTACCATTGCTCTAGCTAGGCCACACAATCCCTCAACCAGTAGTAAACAGGGACAGCTCTCCTGTTCTCACATTTTCTGTACCAATCCAGCAGCCAGTATGAGGTTGGGCAGTCTTCTTTGCGGGGAGTGAGGATGATTATAGGAAATATAATATAGGAACAATAAGAAAGACAGATATTGGAGGGCTGCAAGTTTATATCACACAAGTACCAAGTGTATTTCTTATAGCCTTATATTATAGTACCATAGGAAGCAAAGCCATAAGCTAACAGAAACAATTTGTTCAAATGTACACAAGATATTTGTTCTCAACCAAAAATTTCCCTATTCCTTCCACCAAGGTCAATGGAATCTTGAACTTCTAGCCTTGAGCCTCAAGTGCACCGCCTCTTATCATTCCATGCCTCTGCTGGCTAGTAAAACTATCAACAGGTACTGACCTGCCTGGTAGGGAGACTTTTTCCTCTTTCTTATATTCTCTGCTTCAGAAAAGCAGCAAGCGGCTCCCGACAGGCTTCTGGGCCTGCTTACCCACATCCACGCCTGCAGAACCCTCTGTGCTGTCCAGTTAAGGCATGGGGCTCACTTTCCAAGAGCTGAAACCTATGAGAAGCTGGGATAATTCTCATACCCTCTCAGCTGGCTCGCCTGTGTCTTTGTCATCAGGACCCGCTCCACTGTGTTGCCGGCTCTCTAGAGTGCTACAGCCAGTGAAGAGGCGCTCTTCCTTTATCATCCCTACAGGGGCCTACTCTCTGGACTACTGCAGGTGGCTAGGATAAAGGGAGAAGGCATCTACCAAGACCACACCTTCTCAAAGCAGGAAGGTGCTGTGCCAGCTCTCTTGAGCTCTAGCCTTCAGGGCTTGTTCACTGGCACTCCTTCCACCATTATAATACTGCACAGTAAAGATGCAGGTCCTATTCTCCAGAGTGATGCAACTAGGGAGAGGCAAGGACACCTCACTGGCTCTCATGACTATGGTATCTGCTTTCCCTGTGTCTACTGTCACAGGTAGTGAGGAGTGAGGTGTCAGAAGGCATCTTCCCCCAACCCAGATTACCTCACCTCATGACAGAGGAGTAGTGGGGCCAGTTATCTCTCAGTCAAACACTTGAGGATGGCTCAGTAGTGCCCTCATCACCAGGACCAGCTCTACTATGATGCTTAGTAGAGTGCACTTTCCTCTCTCCCAAATGCTGAAGCTGGCAAGAGACAGTACCAGCTCACCAATTCTCATGGCTCTGGGGTCTACCGTAGGTGTCAAGGAGTGAAAGGGCATTGCCTTCGTACCTATGCCACCTCATAGGATACAAGTGGCAAGGTCTGTTCTCCCATAGGTACGCACCTCTGTGGGTGGCTTGGCTGTCCACGGGTCTCTGTCTTTCTTCCTCCTCTTTCAAGGTGGTGGTAGCTTAGACTTTGTATATCTATGGCCCACATGTCTGTATCCCTCCAATACATGTTTCATGATGTAATACGGATCTTTGTCTTTGTTCCTTCAATCTTACTATGCTCCCTGTATTTTATTTGATTTGATTTGATTTTTATGTGTCCTAGGTATGAAAGAGTTTTGGCCACCAAGCCAGGCATCAAGCTAGGATGGACAAAGGATTGCCAGCTGCTCTGCCCTGACTGATATGAGAATAATATCACCAATAAGTATTTCTCCATTGCTATGGAGAGAGGAAAAGACAATTTTAATGCTGTATAGAACATATACAACATTTTAAAGTTTTTATACAATCAATAAAAAAATACATTTTTCTACAATGCATTTTGTTTACATATGCAGGCTTTTCTAGCTTTTATCTTATCCATTTAGATAATCTATGTTTGAAGAATCAATTTTTTACTCTCCCCCTCTCTATATATATACATATACATACACACACACACAAACACACACACATATATACATATATATATGTATATACATATATATATATATATGGTTATAAGTTATAATATATATTAACATATATTTATTTACAAGGTATATATATAGATATAAGGTAGAATATTTATTAATATAGTTTATAATTATATATATATATATATGTGTGTGTGTGTGTGTGTGTGTGTGTGTGTGTGTGTTTTCTAACACAAAGATTATGTCAAAAACACGAATTGAACTGCAATTCATTTAGCTTTGGACATTTATGTATATGGTGATAATGGTGGATGTACTGTGATCTCAAAACTTTTGTGGTATAAAAGCCCAGGGATTAGCTTTGAAGAAACAGCAATGGATTTTTTTTACAGAAAAATAAAATAGTATTAAACAAATAGCAGTAATCATTCCCACTGATAAGTTTTTTACGTTGGAATTGAGAGGAATGGCCATTGATTAAAATATCCTTAAAGAATGAAGGAAAATTGTTTTTTGGGAAGGTGTAAATAAAGTTATTTGCTTTCATATTATGTTCTTCAAATATTATTTCTAACAAGGTGGCATGTGAAATTTCTTTGCACAAAATGGAATGAATCCTTCACCAACTTGCTGAAGAGTTGCTGGGGTGTGGGTAATAAGGATAACACAAAGTGAATAAGCAGCTTATCTGGGACATGTCTTCCCTGAGACAACCCAATGACTTGAAATGATTGGTCTTGTGGTTTTGTTGTTGTTTTGTTGGTTTTTTGTTTGTTTTCAAGGAAAGTGTTTAGGGTATAAGCATTGAAGATCATCCTGTTCTGTGCAAAGATTCCACACATTGTAGTCTGACTATCTCCAAATAAAATCTCATTTGTGACTGACTTTAATGAGATGGTTATGAATTTTTTCAAAAGCAAATACATTCAGCACATATATATTCAATGATAAGAGTTCCTTTACGGGTTTCTATTTAAATTGTATACATTAAGGTTAATTGCACCTATGCTGGAAGAATTATACAGTCCATCTAAACCTAAAGTCAGAAAACAAAAATTTTTTGTCCACTTATCTGACAACAAGAGGAAATTCAAGTGTTGTTGCAATGCATACTCTTGGTTGCCATCTTAACTTAATATGGAATCAACTAAACCACAAGCAGGTGAAGACCTTTGTGAAAGACTTTCTTCTACATTATTTGAACTGGAAAGACTCATCCAAAGTGTGTGTAGTAGCATCCATTTCAAGTCCAAAAAGAAGAACACAGCGAAAGAAACCATTGAATTCTGGCTGCTTGTCTTCATGCTTGCTAGCATGTTTATTTATTATGTTGATGCAGTCTTCCATCTCTGATAATATAATCAGCTTCTTTAGGTTTTGCAGGGAAACTGAAAACTATAAATTCTTCAGGTCCTCAGTATACAATAACATTGCTTGAGCATATAGATTTTTTTTGAACCATACAACTACTGGAGGGTTAGTGTTTCCAGTGTTAAGATGGGCTTTGACTGACTAATCCATTTATATCCCAGCTAATAGAGAGCCCTGATTAATATAATTATTATTCAACTTTGAGGAAATACATTTCAATGCTTAAAAGTTTTTAAAGTTTCTTTCCTTGAGTTCTTGAGTTTTCTTCTGAATAAATGACATGTGTGTTTGTTTGTTTGTTTGTTTGTTGTCTTAAGTATAACTTTGAACACCTTAAATTAACTCCATGTCCATAAGTAGAATTAAGGATTAATAAAATCCCCTAGAAAATGAGTACTATTTCAAGATGAGAACCATACACACTGCAAATGTTAAAGTACCCATTGGTTGCAAGCAAAATAATTCCTTTGGGTAGAATCTCAAGTTCCTTCTTTGTCAAAGTTATGGAGATCAACATGGATTTGAAGGTGTCAGGCAAATACAGACAGAAGACTTGCTTATGTCAGATTTATTCAAGCGATGCACATGAATGAAAATGAAGATATAAAATGTAGGTTCAGTCACCTGGGATTTTATTGAAAAGTCTAATTGATGCCCAGTCGCAGTCATTGCTTTCCGCATTGATGTTTAAATGTAAAATCTCCTTGTCTTACTGTGAGTAGTAGTCTCTAAATCTAACTCTCAGGAGACACAAAAAAACAGGTATTCAGTTCCTGATCATAGCAGGATTATTCATAAGAGGAAAAAGTGCAAAATGACTAATGCATATTTCATGAATTAACATATCACAATAATAGGTCTAAACAAAGTAGTCAGTACCAAGAGGGAAAGAGGAAAACAGAGGACATTTTCACACTAAAATCATATGACAAACGTATTTGAAATGAAGGTAGGTTTCTGATTTTTATTTTTTAAATATCTACCAGTATAAGGACCTGAGTGTAAACACCCAAAACATATAGGAAATTTGGACACATTGTACCACTGCCTGCAATCCTAGCATACTTAAGATAAAATGCGAGGCAGAATCAGGAGAATCTCCTACAGCTGAAGAGACATCACCCATGGCCTACACTGTAGAAAATAATAAAAGGAAAACAAGATAGGAAGTGAAGATCAACACCAAGATTGTTCTCTAATCTCACAGGTACTCTCTCGCAAGTCTCTCTCTCTTCTCTCTCTCCCTCTCCCTCCCTCCCTCCCTCTCTCTCTCTCTCTCTCTCTCTCTCTCTCTCTCTCTCTCTCTTTATGCCTGCATATGCATCATACATGCGATAAATGTTCACATAGGAATGATAACAAAAATATTATAATAAAAGTCCTACATAGCTGTCCTAGATAAACTGTTGAAATTTTATTATGTAGGGTACATTGAGTAAATCTGATATTAGTAAACATCACAAGTTTAAAGTTTCTTCCTGATTGCATCAGAAGATGTTTACATTCTTGCAAATAGGTGAATAACAATCTATGGTTTAATATCTCATATCTGGAACTTAATTTCAATGAGATAAGATGCTCAGTGCAGTATATGAGTTATCAGCCCACATTTTTGTTCCTCCAATGTTACTTTGCCCATTTTTGAGAGTTATATTATATAATAGCACATAGATTGAATATTACCAAATGCTATCTGATAGATAGTTTTATAAGAACTAGAATGTTGGGAGGCTTAAACATCATATACTCTGAAGAAGTAAAGCCAAGAATTTAATTATTATTTCACCCTTCAACACACACACCCACAGATACATAAACATATTTATTTATAAATATTTTAAATGAATGTGTTATATATTTCCTCCAGTTTGAAAATTATATGAGTATTTACCAGGGTCAACAATGTATAAGCATGTTACAATGTTTTTGTCTACAGGTAGTCTTGAAATAGAACAGTGAAATACATCTTTCCACAATTCTCTCGGCCTGCTCACATAGACTCAGTCTATGTTTCAATTTACATGATCATGCCAGAAATACTGTCTGTGGAAGAATTTTCAATAGTCCTCAATGTGAAACCCTTAAACAACAATCAAAGCATGCCTATTAAACTGCATAGCTAGTTACAACCTATTAGGTTTATATGTTGTTATTCATGTATTATTTACTTTTATTATCCCTGTATCCACACATAATATAAACCTCAGTAGTTAATTCTATTCACTTTCCCTTGTTCTTTTTATAGTTATCATTGTTAATATAGCACTGTATTCAATATTTAAGTATGTATGTTAATATGAATTTACCATCTGTCTTCCAACAAGTTATTATGATATTTTCGTATATGTAAATTGTAGTCAAAACTTTGCATTCATTGTCAGGTGATTTTCAACTTGAAGCTTATAAATTAATTTTTAATGTGCATTTTTAGGTAATATTTAGTAGCTACATACAACCTTACCTTTTAACTCTAGTATTAATTTTACTAGCTGCAATGATGCTTCTTTCTTTAGCCAATAGTAAAATTAGGAGTTCATGTCATCCAACTTATTATAATGACCTTTTTCTCCAACCTACACATTCAAACTCTCATGCTAATACTAGTTACCCTCTAGGACTTGAGAGCTGCTAATTTAGAGTAACAGAATGACATAAAGTACAACATGCTTTCTAATCACAGTGTGGACTTTTCTTTCCCTGAGTAAGGAGAAATTATAGAGGGGAGAACAGAAATTACTTCTAACTAGAGTTGTTCAGAAATTTTATACTTATCATTTATTATGAGGCCAAACTGTTCTTTGCAAAGAAAATCCTTCACATATCCCTCCAAATTAAGATTAATATACCAAGTAAGATAAAATGTAAAAGAAAAAATGGGAAGGAAGCATCAATTTTAAAGAAATTGCTAAATCCATTGCTTGGAATTTTTATCTTCAGAATTCCAGTATATGATGACATTAGTCATAGGGAATAATTAGTCATGTGTTGCTATTGAGAGTAAAATTTAATTCTTCCTGCAATTATCATTAGGTGTGTTGTTATATGAATATTTGATTGGAAGTATGAGAATTAAAAAGAAAATATTTTCAGATAATGGTATATTTCTATGCCATTACTATGGAATGTATTATATAATAAAAGATAAGCAGCTAATAGACTCATACACTTTTGCCAAGCTAAAGATAAGAGAAAGTCCAAGACAGAATCTATATTTTGTGTAATTTCATTGATATTCTGTAAATTAATAAAACTCTCAAAGACATTCTAAGGAAACCCAGTGCCGTGGATTGGAAAGCATCTTTGGAGGTTTTCATCAAGATATTCCAATAGGCTCCCAAAATAAACTAGGCTTTGTCATTTCCCTTGTTAACTTACAAGGGAAAAATATAAGATGTGATTACTGAAGCCAGTACACAATAAGGAATCAAGGCTTGTAGTTCTCAGCTC